GGTGGGAGCGTGGAGCGGGGTGCGGCGGGGGGGGCGGAGGAGGGCGGGGGCCGGGGGGCGGACGGGGCGGGCGGAGGCAGGACGCGGGAGAACGTCAGTCGACATGGGGGGGCGGACGGGGGCGGCGGGGTGGGGGCGGAGGAGGGCGGGGAGGGGCGGGGGCGGAGGCCGGAGGCGGAGGGCGGGTGGGCTGCGAGGCCGGCCGGCCGCCAGGACGCTTAGGCGGCGCCCGGCTCACGGTCCGGCCAGCAAGCGGCTCCGGCATAGGTGGCGCCCGGCTCACGGTCACGGCCCGGCTCCACGGTCTCCACGGCGAGCGGTGCCAGCCGCTTGCGGGGATGGGTTTGCTCGTGCTGTTCCCGCTCGGCTCGGCGCGAGGCATCGCCTGGTCTCCGTCTCCGCGCAGAGACGCCCTCGGCGGAGTCGGCCCGAGCGGCCGGGTGGCGGACGGACATTGCCAGCCTGAAGCACATCTTTAAATGTCCCCATGGTTGGCGCCATTTTATGTCGATGCTGCTCTTAAGGATTCCCCAGCTTCTGAGTTCGTATTCCCGCGATTGTCATCGCCTTCGGGCTTGTCAATCCTAGGGATACGGTCGAGGCTGGTTAGAACACGTCCACCCAGCACCTGCCATCCGTGTCCACGCACTCGACATCCGAGATGGCTCGCTCGAGGACGGCCAGACCAGCGCCCTTGGCAGGCCGCTGGGGCCAGAAGCGGCCCCAGGCGGGGCCGCGCTCTTCGCAGAGCGGGCGGTCGTGTTTCCACCGACCCGCAGGGCCCCCCGCTCGTGCGCAGCGCCAGGACAGCTTCCAGGAAGCGCTTCCCTCGCGCGCGCGAAGCTTGATTCCGCCACGCGCACAGGGGGGGGGTAGGGGGAGGGGGGGGGAAGCTTCGCAGAAGGAGGCTGCTTGCCTCATCTATACCTGTAAGGCCGGCGCCTTCTAAGAAGCAGCCTCCTTCTAAGAAGCATTTCCCCCCTCCCCCTTATCCCCCCCCCTCTACGCGCCGCCAAGTCCTGGCGGCGCTTCCCGGGCTCGATCTCTATATAGTTAAGGGCGCGGCCTGGGGAGTGAGCTTCCGAATGCGCGCGCGGCCCCCGTGGGGGCGAGACTCGACGTGCGGCCCCCGGGGTGCGCGGCCTCGGGACGCAGGCCCGGGGTGGAGAAGCAACAAGGGCAGGCGAAGGCAAGGAAAGCACACGCTGTTTGCGTCGGCGGCTAGGCAGAGTCACTGCGCTGGCGACGGAGCGCAAGTGGGATGCACAGGGCGCGAATTGGGCCGCCATGCACGGGGGAGAGAGGGGGACGCCCGGCGAAAAAACAAGGCAAAACAAACAACAACAAAAAAGAGAGGGGCAGAAGAGAGGAGAAGGGCGACGGGCAGAAGGGCAAGCTAGGTGCGCTCGCGCCTCGTCTGACATCCTGTCCCTCCCATCCCTTCCCACTGCGCAGGTCTCTTCTCTGTCCGCGAACGCGTGTCATAGCCGACCTGCAACTCCAGCCAACAGACCACATCGTGTTATGCGCAATCGGAAAAAAAAAACGAGTTGCGTGCACAGGAGGGTGAGGTGGCGGATGAGCAGGAAGACAAGCGGGCGGGGCGGAAAAGAACGAGAATGAACAGCAGCAGCAGCAGCCATTGGAGTGGGAGGCGCGGGAGGAACAGGAGGACCAGGGGAAGGCGGAGGAGGGGAAATGAAGGGGCGACAGCAATGCAGAAAGATTCCGATCGAGAAAACATGGCGCACGCTGGGGCGCGAGCGCAATTCTGAGCGACGGGAACACAGCACCGATCCGAACATGAGGCCCAGGCACGCTGCAGCGGGATCACGGCTTGGAATAACCGGAGACAATGGAAGGAGGCCAGCGTTGCAGCGGGAGTGTGATGTGGAAGGACCGAGAACGCAAACTTGAAGCCAACGCTAAAGCAGGAGCGCCAGACTGGAAGGGCCGAAAGCGATCATCGGCTCAGAAAAACAAATATGATCTGATCGGCCAAACGTGGGGGATCTTACACCGTAAGAGAACACTACGCGGAGGGGGGCGTGCTGCCCAGTCGGAGTCTCCGGGGGAGCGAGGAGAGTTGTAACCATCTCGTGTAACTGTACAGACGAGGGCACACATCACCAAAGGCACACACACACACACACACACCGCTAAAGAGCAGGGGCAGAGGCACACAGGCACGCACAACGGAAGGCAGAAGAAATCAGAATTGAGAGGGGCAGCGGGGACCAGCAAGCCCCGCGATGGCGCCTGACCACGCCGCCCAGTGGCTGGCACGCGGGCCGCCTGGAAGCCATCCGCGCCCAGGGGCCTGGTAGGGGACCCCGCCGCCTGTCCTGTTGCAGCACGTCGCCGGCGCCCGCGCCGGCATGTCGCGAGAGCATGCCTCCGCCGCCGCCGCCGCCGCCGCCGCCGCCGATCGTCGCCGACGAGGACAGCGCGGACGAGAGCGGCCGTGGCGGCAACGGAGGAGCCGACGGCGGCGGCGACGACGCAGAACTCCAACGTCGTGATTTTGTTCAGAACGTTGGCCCCCAGAGGTCTGGAACCCCTTTTCCCCCGGGGCCAGCTTTCCACCTCGAGCCGTCTTCTGGCGGCCCAAGGGCCACGTGGAGGGCCCACTGGAGGCCTAAAATTGTTCAAAAGCAGTCCAGCATTGTTTTTGGCCGCAGCGCGAACACGTCTGGAGATGACGACGACGACGACGACGACGACGACGACGACGACGACGCCGCCGCTGACGGCGTCGACGACCGCGCGCGCGGCGCGCGCGGCGCCCGTTTCCGTCGTCCTCGGCGTCGGCGCCGTCGACGCAGACGGCAACCCCAGACATCCCATCGCCTCGATTTCTTTCGAGCCACAGGCCCCCGACCGCTCGACGACCTTTTTCCCCGGAGCTGGCTCCCCATCAAGTCGGGCACGTCCCTCGACAGAAGGAATATTCAAAAATAGTCCAAAAATAGTATGGGGACGATTCTTCTACTATTTCGATTATTTTTGAGTATGTTTTGACTATTCCATTTTTCGTCCAAAATCCGCCTGTAGGGGGACACGCCCGACCTACGGCAACCCTAGACATCCAATCGTCTCGATTCTTTCGCGCCGCGGGCCCCCGACCGCTCGACGACCTTTCCCCGGAGCCGGCTCCCCCTCCCCCGAGTCAGTGTTTGCTATACGGCCCCGGGGACCCGGCACGGGCCCCCCGATCGAGGCCGAGGACGATGGAGAAAAACCTCCGCCTCGACTTTTTGTCCGAGACGCCGGCGGTCTGGGGCGCGGGGGGGGGCCAACGCACCAGTCAACCCGCATGGGAAGGATGAGCAACCTTCCCAAGGGTACCCTTGCATCCTGGCCCCCTCGGCCCATCCTTCGCGACTCTCGCTGGCCAACCTCGTTCGAAAAACGCTAACTTGGCCCTCCGAGGCCCATCCATATCACGCATCCTTATGATACGGGCCGACTGTACACGCAGCTGCTGCGCACTGGTGCCTCGAGGCGCTGGGGGGCGGCCACGTGCCCGCATCCAGGAGGGTGCCTGGCTCAAGTCGGACCTGTCACTCTACAGGCGGAAGACTCAAGAATTGGTTAGAAATAGTTTGACGATGTTTCAATTATGTCTTTTTGAATGTTTATTTGGTTATTTTAAATTTGTTTGAAAAATCCGCCTTTAGGAGGACATGCCCGACCTAACGCCTGGCGGTGGCGCCGAGGTCAGCCGAGCGCAGCAGATTTCCCAGCTTCTGTCCGCCCCGAGCGGCTCGCCAGGACGCCCCAGGAGGCCCCTCAAAAGGGTCTCAAGAGGCCAACATCATGGTTTCCCCAGGGAGGCTTTTGAAGCATTTTGGCGTTCTCGCCTTTTCGGCTCTCCGACGCTCCAAAACGGCCCAAGAGGCCCCCAAGAGCACCCCAAGACGGCCCAAGAGGCCTCCAAGAGGGCCCCAAGGCGGCCTAAGAGCGCCCCAAGACGGCCAGATCCTTCAGGCGATGGGAGCGAAAAACATTTCACACGCAGGAGCAGGAGAGGAGGGAGGAGGAGACGGATGAGTATGGGGATAATATGCTGTTCGAGACGCCGAATGCGGGTTGGCTTTCGGGTCATGGTTCGGGTATCAGGCGGCCGCTCGGGACGATTCGGGCAGCCCTGGAACGCCTGCGGCGAGGCGCAGCTCTTGGAAAGCATCCCGAGCCTGGAAAGCCGCAGAGGACCGGCGAAAGTCTCGAACCTCGAATCGAGACGTCGGACCTTGGCACCGCTCGGCCGTGTGCGTTTTTTCTCGGTGAGGATCCTCGTGGAGCACCCTGGATCATCTTGCGAAAAATACACATTGTGCATTTCTAAGTATTCGAAAGCTCTTTGACTGTTGGGGGGAGATCCTGTCATATCTAATTGGTCTATCCTGGGTCTTTTCCTGGCCACTAGGGGGCCAGGAACAATTAGAAACGAGCACAGTTAGAAATGAGCACGATTAGACATGAACGACGCGTGCACGCACGAGGCCGAAAAATGCACGGGGAATGGACGCCCGAGCGATGGCAAGCGGACGTTTGGCACCGCGCTCGCGGCCGGCCAGGGGGCGCAGCGGCGGGCGGGCTGCGGGTCCTGCTCGCGCAGACGATGTCGGGGCGCGGCGCGCCCAGGGCGCAGCCGGCGCGGGCCGCGGGAGACCTCCTCGCCGCCCGTCGGCCCCGCCGCCGCCGCCGCGGCGGTCGCCGCCGCCGCGGTCGTCGTTTCTCCTGGACCCGAGGGATGCGGTGCGTGGGTGCCGCTCGGAGCGGAGCAGGGAGGCCAGTCTGGAGCAGGCTTACAGGGGACCTCGGGCTCCCCCTCACTATAATTTGAGTCCGTACGCGTCGCTGGGCGCGAGGGATCACGTTGACTCGCTGCTTTCTCACCACTACTCCTGGGGAGCACATCAGGCAAGCAGCTGCTCCTTGGCTGAATGTCGCGGCGCTGGGGACACATTCCTCCTCCTCCTCCTCCTCCTCCTCCTCCTCCTCCTCCTCCTCCTCCTCCAACTCCTCCTCCTCGTCCTCCTCCTCCTCCTCCTCCTCCTCCTCCTCCTCCTCCTTCTCGGGTCGGACGAAGGGGGGGGGGGGGGGGGGCAAGATGCATCGGGATTCGGCACCGCCGCCCGGCCCCTTCCCCGATGCATGGGCGCATCCGGCGCAGGGGGGGCGGCAGAGAAGCCAGCCACGTGAACCCACCCCAAGACTGCCCCAAGAGCGCCCAAAGAGCGCCCAAAGAGCGTCCCACGAGAGCCCCAAGAGGCAGTTTGCCTCCTCCTCATCATCATCTTCCTCCTTATCATCAGCATCATCAGCAGCATCATCATCGTCGTCGGCATCAGTATGTTCCCTCCTGCTCCTCCTGCTCCATCTCCCCCTCCTCTCCTCCTCCTCCTCATCCTCCTCCTCCTCCTCTCCTCCTCCTCCTCCTCCTCCTCATCATCATCATCATCATCATCATCATCATCATCATCATCATCATCATCATCATCATCATCATCATCATCTCATCATCATCATCATCATCATCATCATCATCTCCTCCTCCTCCTCCTCCTCCTCCTCCTCCTCCTCCTCCGCCTCCTCCTCCTCCTCCCTCCTCCTCCCCCTCCTCCTCCATCCTCCTCCTCCTCCTCCTCCTTGTCCTCCTCCCCTCTCTCCTCCTCCTCCCCTCCTCCTCCTCCTCCTCCTCCTCCTCCTCCTCCCTCCTCCTCCTCCTCCTCCTACTCTTCCTCCTCCTTCTCCTCCTCCTCCTCCTCTCCTCCTCCTCCTCCTCCCTCCTCCTCCTCCTCCTCCTCCTCCTCCTCCTCCTCCTCCCCTCCTCTCTTTCTCCTCCTCCTCCCTCCTCCTTCCTCCTCCTCCTCCTCCTCCTCTCCTCCTCCTCCTCCTCCTCCTCCTCCTCCTCCTCCTCCTCCTCCTCCTCCTCCTCCTCCTCCTCCTCCTCCTCCTCCTCCTCCTCCTCCTCCTCCTCCTCCTCCCCTCGCCCCCCCGCGGGCCCCGGGCCCCAGGGATGGCCTCCCTATCGTCCACTCCGGAACTCCCTTCCCCGCCAGCAACAACATGAGTATGATCCGGAGCGGCAGCGGCAGCAGCACCCCCGGGAGGCAGAGGAATGAGGAGGTGGTTCGGTTCGGTCGTCCGCGAAGGCGCGAGCCAAGCTCGCAACTACATGACTGGGCGGGTGCCGCTTACCTGGGAAACAGCAGCCGAGGTTGGCCCATGAAGGAGGAGGAGGAGCAGCAGCAGCAGGAGCAGGAGGAAGAGGAGGAGGAGGAGGAGGACAGGAGGACAGGAGAACAGGAGAACAGTACCACCACCACCACCAGGAGGAGGAGGAGGAGGAAGAGCAGAGTCGCGAGGGCGAGAGAGGCGAGGAGGAAGAGAGGGACGAGGGCGAGGAAGACGGCCCTCGCCCCGCAGCGGCCCATGGGAGCGGGAGCAGGAGCAGCAGCAGCAGGAGAAGCGCGAGGAGGACGGGGGCGAGGACGAGGAGGAGAGGGATGACGAGGGAAAAGGAGGCGAAGTGGGGTTGGAGGCGCATGTGGCGATGGATACGGACTTGGAGGAGGAGGAGGAGGAGGAGGAGGAGGAGGAGGAGGAGGAGGAGTTGGCGGTGGATATGGATTTGGAGGAGGAGGAGGAGGAGGCAGAGGACTACACGCTACAAGCATAGCACTTGAAGTTTGCCGAACGTCAACAAAACGAGGCGGAGTAGGAAAATAAGGACGACAACGACGTTGACGACGGCGGCAGGTATAGCTCCACCGCGCACGATGCAACCACAGCTTCTGCTTGCTTCGCATGTGAGCGGTTGCCTAACGGGCACAGACGCCACCAGTCTTTGTTCGTCGATTCGTACGCCGCTGGGCGACCGCCGATCTCATCGGTCTTTGTATGCGCATTTGTTTCCGCGCGCGTCCATGGTAAAAGCGGTGCGTCAACACGCCCATGCACAAGAAAGGAGGAGGAGGAGGAGCAGGAGAAGGAGGAGGAGGAGGAGGAGCAGCAACAGCAGGAGGAGAAGCAGGAGCACGAGGAGCGGCAACAGTTGCGGGATCGGAAGCAAACGCAGGACAAGCGCGAGCACGAGCACGAGCACGGGGAGGAAGAGGGGCTCCAGACGCGTCGGCGCTGACACCCCGCCTCCAAAGCCGCCCTCCCGCTTCTGTACAAAGGCCGCCGCTTCTCCGCCCGAAGCCGCCCACAGCAGCTCGCCTCCCCCCCCGGTAACTGGACAGAGCTGGAAAGATCAGCTGCCGACCAGGACACGTGGCTCGACTTGGAGGGCATTTTCGTGACGTGGTATGGGCCTCGTAAAAAAGATAGCGAACACGCATGCCACATTCATCGGTCAACGCCTCCCTCTCCCCCCCATGTTCAAAGTTGGCGGTGGGTCTGATGAGTTCCATTTCGACCGCAGTCTCCCCCGCGCGTGCCAACTTTGAGTTTGGGAGAGCGGGGGAGTGTCCACGAATTGTTCCCCCC